CCGCCGCAGCGGCCGGGGCCGGGGGGAGCGGGGCGTCCTGCCCGGCGTCTCCCGGTCCCGCTTTCCGGGGAGGTCACTGCGCGCTGAAATAAAATGTCTCGGCTCTGTGATGAAGCCTCAGAAATGCCTGTGGGGTTTTCTGCCGTGCACCCCTGGGCGGCTCCACCCCCGTGCTCTGCTGCACGAGCAGTGCAGTGAGATTTATCTTCCTGCTGTGTTGCAAGCTAAAGTTTGAGGTCGGAAGGGGAGATTTTTTTTTTTCATTATTTACCATCTAAGTTGGCTGTTTAGTCTTGAGTGTAGAATACACCCCATTTACTATAATAAGTGTGCGTTTTGTCATGTGGTACGCTTCACTCTGAAGCTTGAGTGCTTTGTCCTCCCTTAATTAATCAGTTTGTAAAGCCTATCAATAAAGGTTTAAACTTATCATGGTGCATTAGCAAGGGGGGAAGAGCACTTACTACTGCAAGTGGTTTTGAGGGGTTGGCAATTGAGGCTCTTACCCTTTCAGTCCATGATTCCCTTATTTCCTTATCTCTCCCTCACCTCCGTTGGAAAACACAGCTATAATGATGAAATTGGGTATTCTGCGAGTATCACTAGTATTGTATAAAGACTTTTCTTTTTTATGAAGTTTGTTTGAAGCTTCCCATTCTCTTAACAAACGTTTGTACTTGTATTGTAAGTTAGATACTATACTATGGCTGCTAGTAGAACAACTATAATATGAATGCTTGATTTGTCTTTCTAGGTTTTGTTTTTCCCCACCCCGTCAATTTAATTTTATTCTTTTGAAGATTCTTTGTTGTCAAGCCGCCAAAGTGGAGAGTGCGATTGCAGAAGGGGGTGCTTCTCGTTTCAGGTACTAGTGCTCTTTTGTTGTTTGATGAACACTTGGCAGGGGAGACTGTACTTTGAGGAGAATTTAAATTTGTCTTTTTACCAAAACTGATACGTAATTGAAAGTGTTGGGATTTTGAACTTACATGAAATCACATGGTTGTTTTTAACAGTGCTTCTTCAGGCGGAGGAGGTGGTAGGGGTGCACCTCAGCACTATCCCAAGACTGCCAGCAACAGGTGTGTAATTTACTACTTGATTTGGCGTAATTTTCAAGGAAGAGAATGCTTGATGGCAACCACTGAGTTGAAAATAAAGTGTCTTTAAAGTTGTACAAAGGATATCTGCAAAGTTTTTGAACGTATTAATGTCTTTCAGTCTGCGGCAGGGTAGTATATAATCTGTTGAAAGTATGTGTCATAAATGAAGTGAGATGCACGGATATTTTTTTTCTTTGCATTTTACTCACAAAGTTTACAGGGCTTTCTTAAGAGTCATCTTAACCACTGTGAATAGTTAACTATGCAACAGACTTGTCTGTGTTGGTAGGTGTAAGTGTACTCTTGTAACAGAGCTAGTAGCAGAATTAACATAAGTGAGGAAATACCTGAGAAGTTAAAAGGCCAGTTCCTGAAATTGCTAGTTCTTGTTTAACAAAAGTATTAAAATTTTACAGCGAGTTCCTGGGGAAAACCCCAGGGCAAAACGCTCAGAAATGGATTCCTTCACGAAGCACTAGACGAGATGACGACTCCGCAAACGACAAAGAACGACATGATGCAATCTTCAGGAAAGTAAGAGGGTAAGTTTGGTTTGTGTTTTTTTTCTTTCTATACTGCTTTTTTAGCAATATAGGTATCTAATTAAAGTTTTGAGGTCAGGGGGGGTTCAGTGGGTGTATGTCTGTCTTCTTTGGAGGGAATGAGGCAGAAATTGGTTGGTCAGCAGCAGCAAACCTTTCAAAAGTAATGCTTGTGAGAGGATTAGTCTTTTCAATAATACTTCATATATTTAAAATCATGCCCAAAAATAGTCAAATGGGAGACTGTACTCTAATTTTTTAATAGAATTAGATGTGAAGGTAAACTTGAGTCTAAAGTTACTTGTAGCATGCTTACAAGATCTGTAATGTGGATTTTTTTAATTTTTGTTCCTCTTTAGCATACTAAATAAGCTTACTCCTGAAAAGTTTGACAAGCTATGCCTTGAGCTCCTCAATGTGGGTGTAGAATCTAAGCTCATCCTAAAAGGGGTCATACTGCTGGTAAGCTGGCTGTATTTATTTTAAATAGAGCTTTATTTTATGTTAAACATGAAGAGGTTTGCTAATGTCATGTTGATTAACCCAGACATAGAGAAATACTGTTCCTACTTTTGTGTGTAAAATGATACACTGCAGAGGAAGTAGACTTTACTGCTCTAACTTTGATCTTAGAATCAGTAAATGTGATTGGGGATTTTCTTGGATATTCTAAGATGCTAATTAGCAGTCTTACTTCCCTGGTCCCCCTCTTCCCATTTTCCTAAAAAACAAGCCTAATGGTCTTGGAAAACCTACCACACGGTGATTTTTGGTACATTGGTTAATTATAATTAGGAGAATTCTAAAAGGAGGCTGAAGATTGTAGAAGCTATTTGGTAGCATACACTTAACTTTTTTCCTTTGCTTCAGCATTAAGGCTAGGGTTGAAACTAGTTTTATTTCTGTATGTTTGATGAAACAGCAAAAATAATCATGTTCTAGATCAGATACTCCATTTTATCTTGCAACTCGCTTTCCTAATAATGTTTACAATCTTTGTGCTATCTTACTCAAATTTTAGATCGTAGACAAAGCCCTTGAAGAGCCCAAGTATAGCTCACTGTATGCTCAACTATGTCTGCGACTGGCAGAAGATGCACCCAACTTTGATGGCCTATCAGCAGAGAGTCATCCAGGGCAGAAGCAAAGCACAGTGAGTTTCTCTCTTATCTGGAATGATAAAGCTTCCTAGCACATATAGTTGCACTGATTGATTATATTGTTTCCTTTGTTCTCTTTTCTTAGACATTCAGACGCCTCCTAATATCTAAACTTCAAGATGAATTTGAAAACCGAACCAGAAATGTTGATAGTAAGCTTAAAACCACTAAATACAGAATTTATCTTCTCTCTTCACAGCCATCTTAAACAGGCTTCTTTGTTTTCCAGTCTATGATAAGCATGATGGTCCCCTCCTCCCTGAGGAGGAGGAACAGAGAGCCATTGCCAAGATCAAGATGCTGGGGAACATCAAATTCATTGGAGAACTTGGCAAGCTTGACCTTATTCATGAATCTATCCTTCATAAGTGCATCAAAACAGTGAGTATTGCAATTGGGGTCGGGGCTAAGAGCAAGATAAGACTTCCGAACTAAAAAATGTAAATGTTCATGCTGTTCCTAGGCATTTTGGAGTAAAAAATACCAGAAAAATGTTTCCTGTCGATTATTGACCCCTATATTGTTTGAAATCAACAGTCTTTTAGTGTTGCTAAAAAGTAAAGTTGGAATTGTCTCAAAGTGAAGATGTTGTTTGGCCTAGACACAAGCTCCACAGCTACTTCAAAGTACTACTATTCAAAGTCCTATTCCAGTATTGTTTCAAAGTACTTCAGTTAGTTTTTTTAAAACTATTTTTCATGTCTGTCTTCCAAGATTAAATGTGCATGTGCTGCTGTACAAAGTTGTAATTTTTAGTAAGTTGAAATGCCTAATTCCCCTTTAATATTTCAGCTTTTGGAAAAGAAGAAGAGAGTCCAACTCAAAGATATGGGGGAGGATTTGGAGTGCCTCTGTCAGATAATGAGGACAGTGGGACCTAGATTAGACCATGCAAAAGCCAAGGTATGTGCATATACACTGCAGTCATTAGAAAGTTGTTAAATTGGGTGGCTAGAACTTCTAATTGCCTGAACTTTCTGTATTCAGTGTTCTATTAGACCTCAGTTTTGTACTTCTGCTGAATTACAGTGCCAGTTATTGCTCCTACATCACATCTATAGCAAAAGGAGCTTATCTTCAGTTTTAAATGTCTTTTCAGAAGGCAGTTAAGGTTGTTAGGAAGTTGTAAAAGTGGTAGTGTTTTTTTCTGTACATGTTACTTGAAAAAAACACCTTAATTACCTGGAGGTGTTTTAAGGTCAATACAGATGAGGCTTTGTGCAACATGATCTAGTGGGATGTGTCCCTGCTTATAGCAGGGAGGTTGGATCTTGATGATACATAAGATCCCTTCCAACCTTAACCGTTCTTTGATTCTAGCCTGTGATTCTTGAAAAGATACAGCAAGGAAGTCCATTCTGAACACAAGTAGGTGGTCTGACAAGGTGTATTTTGGACCTTAGCTTGTGAGTTCAGAATGCAAATTTAAAGTGCTACAGTAATGGGAATTTTGGCAGGTTTTCAACTTTGACTCAGATGTCTTGGTTCATTAGCTTACCTTAAGCTCTGCTGCCATCAAGAAGATTGAGATGGCAGGAGAAGGTGTTCTGTTACTTTACCTTAGATGCTTTGAATGCACTCGCCCTTCCTGAAAATGCTCATGGCATTGATAGAATTAGCCCTCACTTGCAACACTGCTTTTGTTCCCCCAGTCCTTAATGGATCAGTACTTTGCCCGTATGCGCTCCTTGATGTCAAGTAAGGAATTGCCAGCAAGGATTCGTTTCCTGCTGCAGGTATGATGATAAAGTGGCTTACTGCTTCCTTTCTCTCTCAAAGCTGTCTTGAATCTTTCCTTAATAATTCATTGTGTTTCAAGGATACTGTGGAGTTGAGAGAACACAACTGGGTTCCTCGCAAAGCTTTTCTTGACAATGGACCAAAGACTATCAATCAAATCCGTCAAGATGCAGTAAAAGTAAGTGTTGCATGGACAAGTCTCATGCTTGGCTTTGCTTAAGTGTTAAAAAGAATCCTTACATGTTTTACTCTGTCACAAAACTTAGTGGTGACAGCAAAGGGTTAAGAATTTAAATCGGGTGGACTTCCATATTTCATGTGTAAAAACTTGGCCTTTCTTGGACTGCTACTTCAAACTGATAAAAACTGTAATTCCTGTTTTCTAGGATCTGGGAGTTTTTATTCCTGCTCCTATGTTTCAAGGAATGAGAAGCGACTTCTTTCTGGAGGGACCCTTTATGCCACCCAGGATGAAACTTGACAGGGACCCACTTGGAGGGCTTGCTGATATGTTTGGACAAATGCCAGGTACATGGAAACTGCAAGGCTGATGTGATGACTGCAGCTGTACTCTTACCAAACAGGAACTACAATTGTGTTTTCTCTCAATAATACAGGAAGCGGAATTGGTACTGGTCCAGGGGTTATTCAGGATAGATTTTCACCCACCATGGGACGCCATCGTTCAAACCAACTTTTCAATGGCCATGGGGGTCACCTCATGCCTTCTGCTCAACCCCAGTTTGGAGAACTAGGCAAATCTTTTCTGAAAAGTCAGGTAAGGAAGATGTTGTTCAGAGTGACTTCAGGATGTTTAGAAGCTCTTCTACAGATGCGTATGTTATGGATTGTAGTCTGCTTACGTTGAAAGACTTCCTCAGATTTTATTCTGATAAGCACTCATGCTCAGCAGATACAAAAATTCTAAACCACTTCTTAAATTGTGCAAGGGATGCAAGGAATACACTTTTTTTTACTGCAAGAAAAGGTGCATGTGGCTTTGGTGGGTCAGAATGGTGTGTTTTCTATAAAAAATGGCCCTGTTTTTAGGGATAGATGCTACTCTCCCACCACCCCTGCTCACTCTTTCTCCCTTCCTGGCAAATAGAATCCCTGGTCCCTCTAGTCCTTCTGGTGCTACTTACCATATGATGTACGCCACTCCATCATCTGCACTTCTTTCTCTATATCTCCCTTTCTGAAATAGGGGCAAAGCCAGCTCTACCATAACCAGAATCAGGGACTCTTATCCCAGCAACAAGGACAGTCGAAGGATATGCCACCTCGGTTTTCTAAGAAAGGACAGCTTAATGCAGATGAGGTACATTACATGCCTACATTACTTAAAGCCTATCCTAAATATTGCCCAATGATTATAGCAAGACGCGTTATTATGAGGACTAATGCTGGAACTCTTCCTCCTTCTCCTATTCCTCCTCCTTCTTTGTCCCTTCCTCTTTCACCTTACCCCTCACTTTCCTTAGGGTATCCAGCGTCCTATGAGCAAGACTGAGATATGAGGGCAATTTCTTGGGGTGTCCCTTCCTTCCCCCACACTTTCCCAAGAACACTAGTCTGACTTCAGTTCCCATGCATCATATTGATAGCAATACATTTGATTAAAACTTCAGAAACCCCTCAACTCTAGAAAAGAAACCCTGAAGTGCTGGACCAGGCTAAATTTTTTTTTAATTCTTTTTTTAGAACTGGCCATTAGGCAAAATGTCATGCATAATAAAGTGCATTGTAAATCTGAGTGTTAACAAGACTTGTATCCTGATTCCTGAGCAATTGGTAGAGTTTTATCTTGGCTGTAAAATATATCAGCAAACGTTAAATATCTTGGGTCTCTAACATACTGCATCTAAAAGAAGCAAATCCAGATCTTGATATAATTGGAAGAAATAGCAGTAACTTGGCAGCAAGTTGTGACTTACGGAGTCATGCTTCTGGGGGAATTGTAGTACGCATGTGGCTTAATCTGTATTGGAGTGCTAACATTGTAGAAGTTGATAAGTCATGCTTCAGTGGGATCAGTTGGCAAGAGTCCATAGCTCTGTATTCTTGTTCAGAACACTTGAAACAGTTTGAGGTTTTTTTTCTGACTTACCTGTTTACAGATTAGCCTGAGACCTGCTCAGTCTTTTCTAATGAATAAAAACCAAGTGCCAAAGCTTCAGCCCCAGATAACTATGATTCCTCCCAGTGCTCAACCACCACGCACTCAGACACCACCTTTGGGACAGGTAAATACAAAAGTTGCTCTGTATTGTTGACTATACTTAACTTCTGCATGCGTGTACAACTTAAAATAAAAACTTTACTGAGAGGATGGCAGCACTGGAACAGGCTGCCCAGAGAAGCTGTGGAGTCTCCTCTGGAGATACTTAGAATCCAGCTGGATGCAATCCAGGTGATCCTACTTCAGTGGAGGAGTTGGGACTAAATGGATAATCTCTAGAGGTCCCTTCCAATTCTGATGGTTCTATGATCTTTTTTTCAGCCTCCTCAGCTTGGTCTTAAAACAAATCCACCGCTTATACAAGAAAAGCCTGCAAAGACCACGAAGAAACCACCTCCTTCTAAAGAAGAACTGCTTAAACAAACTGTAAGTTACATATGTAATAGTGTTTCCTGAAGTCTTGCATATGTCCTTTAAAAAAAAAAGAATGTTTAATGATAATTTTTTTCTCTAGGAAGCTGTTGTGACTGAGTATCTGAACAATGGAAATGCTAATGATGCTGTCAATACTGTGAGAGAAATGAGAGCTCCAAAACACTTCATTCCTGAGATGTTGAGCAAAGTAATCCTTCAATCCCTAGATAGATCAGATGAAGACAGAGAGAAAGCAAGTACTTTGATCAGCTTGCTCAAGCAGGAGGGAATAGCCACAAGTGACAACTTCATGCAGGTACTACAGTCTGAAAGACTTGCAGACCTTGTTGCTTGGTTGTTCATGATGTTTAGCTTGAATAAGGGCAGTATTCAAGTCCTGTTGATCTGAGGAGATAAAACTTAAATACAAACTTGAGAGGGGTGTAAAGAAGAAATGTTGGTACAGGGCTTAAGGAACTGGAAAGCGGGAGCCTCTTGGCAAGTGATTCAATGTGAAAAGAAATGAGGCTCCTGTGTAGTAAGAGTTGCTATCCACAAGAACAAAATTATGTGGGAATTTCAACTTGTATATG